TATTGTACGTCAAATAGATGTTGAAATAAATGAAAATGAACTTATTGAATGTTGTTCTACTAACAGCGATATAAAAATTCTCAATGCTAAAAGGCTAAACAGGAGAGTAGTCAAAGGGGATACAACTACATACGAACCTACAGGTACAGTTTTGTTCACATTCAGTGGTGTTTTAATGCCCAAATCAATAAATTTTTACGATCTACCAAAATTGGTTAATGTGTTCATTCCCCCAGTAACACAATGTTACAACTGCTTAAGATTTGGACACACCAAAACGAATTGTAAAGCAAAAGAAAAATGTATGAATTGTGGTGAGCTTAAACATACCGATGATTGCACTATGAAATGTTTCTTTTGCAAAGGTCCACATGTTTCAACAGCGCGTACGTGTCCGGAATATTTACGTCAAAAAAATATTAAAGAACTTATGTCTTATGAAAATTTAACATTTTTTGAAGCTAGTGAATACATTCCCAAAAATTACATAGAAAAAGACAAATTCATTTTCAACTCCAAAGATTTTCCGTCCCTTCCGAGTAATAGTACTAGAGTAAAACCCGTTAATAATAAAACTATTCAACACAATACCGTTTCACCATCAGAAAGAAGAACACACAATTTCAAATCTTCAAAAAGGACATTTCAGCAGGTAGTTTCAAATACAAATAATAAAAGAAGAGTAATCCAACAAGGTTATGACAGAAATGCACATGATGAATGTCTTTATGTTCCAAATGGTAGACAAGAGAATTACTCCTCTTTAACTGCCTTATCTCAATCTAAATCTCCGATACCCTCTCAATCAGAATCGAAATCTTCTAATTCACATAATGTAAAACCAAATTCAGCCTGGAATGCCAGTGCATCGCATAGTAATTATAATTTTGATACAATACCTTCACATGATTTCCTAAAATCATGTTTAAACTTTATTAACATTTCACCAGATAATTTAAATATGGTTAAAAAAACTTGTACTTTCCCATTCTAATCTTAGGTCCTATATGGACTTGGACAATTATTCAGATAGTGATTAATAGGTTAAAACTTAGAATGATCCTAAAATCAAAAATAAAAATCATTCAATGGAACATCAGAAGTATCAATTCAAATAGGATACTCTGACAGATTTAGTCTCTAAAGAAGATCCAGATATAGTAGTTATTAATGAAACTTGGCTTAAAGAAGATTTCAATTTTACTCTAAAATTTTATCACATTATTAGACAAGATAGGAATGATGGCTATGGTGGAGTAGCTACCTGTATCAAAAAACATATTTCATTTCAGACTATTAAAAAATATAATTCAGACAAAATCCAATATATTATAACAAAGATTGATGACATATTCCTTATAAATATCTATTCCAGTTCAAATAACGAAATATCAGTGCCTTTTTTAAATTCCATGTTAAAAAACCTAGACATAAAAAAATTAATCATTATGGGCGATATGAATTCTCATCATCCAATTTGGGATAAATGTTTAATTAATAAAGGTGGTAAACAAATAGTTGACTTTATATTTGATAACGAGTTGACCATCCTAAATGATGGCTCAGCAACCTTGTTTCAGCTTCCCAACAATAATATCAGTGCTGTTGATTTAACAATCGTGAGTAGTAATCTGGCTTTATGTACCAAATGGGGGATTATTAAAGACTGCGGCAATAGTAACCATTTTCCCACATACATAAAAATCAATGACATTGAACTATCAGATACAACTTTCGTAAAAAATTATAAAATGAGAAATTCTTCAAGAGCTGATTGGGATCTTTTTTATGATGAAATATTAAACAACCTAGTAAAAATTCTCAATAAATAAAATAAATTACAAACAATTCATGTCAGTTATCAATAAAGCAGCAGATGTTTCGATTCCTTATAAAAATTGTAGGATACAGGGTAAACCATTCAATCCTTGGTGGGATGAGGAATGTACATTATGGGTTAAGAAACGTAAGGAAGCTTTGCACATATTTGACTCATCACCATCACTAGAAAATTATTTGTATGTTAAACATATAATTGCACAAACTAAGCGTAACCTTAGATTAAAAAAGAAAAATAAATTTAAACAATTTTGTGAAACATTAAATAAAGGATCCAATATTACATATGTATGGAATAAAGTAAAAAAATTTTCAAATCATAATAATTGTAAAAATTTTTATAATCCTTCAGATAACATTAAAAGAGAAATATTATATAATATGTCATCAGTTTCCATTAATCCTGAATTCCGGTTACTTCACACTAACCAAGAATTTGAACTTATCTCACTTTCAGAAATTGACACTGCATTGTTCAATAAACGAAATTCTGCCCCAGGAATAGATGATATTTCGTACTCAATGATAAAACATTTTCCTCTAAAAGCCAAAAAAATCCTCCTAAATATATACAATGAATGTCTTAAAGGAGAACCCTTACCTAGCGATTGGAAAAAATTTAATATTCTTAACATCCTAAAACCCTTAAAGGACCCACTTCTTCCGAATAGTTTTAGACCAATTGTTTTATCATCTTGCATACTAAAAACATTAGAAATCATTATAAAAAATAGATTAGATTGGTTTTTAGAACATAATCTAGTTTTCAAAAATACCCAGGCAGGTTTCAGAAGAGGTAGAGGAACTGCCAACAATTTAGCCCTCCTTCATACCTTCATTTCAGAAGCCTTTGAATCATCCCATTCAGTCCTTGCCGTCTTCATTGATATTAAATCAGCATATGATAATGTGAATATATATAAACTTTATAATAAATTACAAAATTTAAATGTCCCTTGTCCTATAATTAATATTATTTTTAAAATTTTGCAAAACAGGCTTTTATATACTAGATCCAATAACGGTGACTTTTTGGGCCCGTCTGTAGCAACTAAAGGTTTACCCCAGGGTTCACCTTTAAGCACAATTTTATTTAATATATACATATTTGATCTATTTTCCATTCTTCCTAAAGATATAAATATTATTGGGTATGCTGACGATTTGGTTTTATATGTTAAGGGACCAGTTATCCAACAAATGGTTAATAAAGTTAATATGGCATTGTACAATGTACAAGAATGGTTGTTAGAACATGACCTATCTCTTTCTATAGACAAATGTGAGGCTGTATGGTTTTCGAAGGGACAACGCAAAAATTTTACCCCAGAAATCAAACTTAGTAACACAATTATACCATTAAAAGATCAAGTTAAATTTTTAGGCATAATTTTTCAAAATCATCTCAAGTGGGACAAACATATTAATAATATTTTAGTTAAAACAAAGAAAAATATTAATATTTTACGTGCAATTTGCAGAGTATGGTGGGGCGCAGACCCTAGGACTCTTTTAATAGTATTTAATGCTTTAATAAGATCTCACTTAGACTATGGTTCATTCTTATTCAGACCCATATCTCAGAAATGCATTAATAAACTTAACACAGTATTTTTTGAAGGGCTACGAATTTCTTTAGGTTGTATGAAATCTACCCCTCACTTGGCATTGCTAGCAGAATCGGCGCAATATGATTTAAAACATAGAAGTTTAATATTAGCTACTAAATTTTTAAGTAAGATCGTTAATATCAAAAACCATCCTTTGATTTTATCCCTTATTAACTTACGGAATAAACTTATACTGAAACCTAATTTTTATAATGAAGATAACTTTCCTTACTTAGTTTCAACACTAGAATACTTTTTTCCATTATTTTGACAAAATACTATAAAAGGTAATAATTTTCCATGTTATGAGATGGATTTTGATACATTAGTCAGTCCAGTAAAAACACTAAATTGTGAAATAACAAAGAATGAATATATGATTAGAGAAAAATTTGCAATATTTACTGAAAAATATATTAATGATTTTACTTTCATTTATACGGATGCCTCAAAAAATTGTAACAAAGTAGGTTTTGGCATTTATATTCCTAGTATCAATTACAAATTTTCATCTAGACTACCTGATGAACTGTGCATATGCAAAGCAGAAAACATGGCTATATATCAAGCAGTTAATTTGTCCATTAATAGACAGATCAATAAAGTTATTATCTTCTCCGATTCTCTTAGTGCAATTTCTAAAATTAATAATAGCAATATTTCTGCTTCAGTAGATTATTGGTGCCTTAAAACAAAAAATCTTATTTCATCTGCAAATAGAAACGGGTTTGAAATACTTATCGCATGGATACCGGGTCATTCCGATATACCGGGCAACCTACACGCTGACACACTGGCCAAAATAGGAAGAGATCTTAATGTTCCTTTGAATATGAAACTAGATTCTCAAGACGTGTTACCCATAATTAAGAATAAAATTAAAAACAAATTCAAAAACACCTGGAAAACTTTAATTAGCAAAAAATCGTATCAGTATTATAGAGTACAAAATATTTTTCCTGATAAGACATGGTTTCAAAATTTTTCATATAAAGATAGGAGACACATTACAACTATTATAAGAATGCGAACCGGCCATTGTTTAACAAGTCAACACCTTTTCAAACTAAATTTGGTGGACAACCCTTACTGTGAATGTGGCCTAATAGAGAACCTAAATCATATATTTTTTGAATGCCCCATAAGGATCATTCCAAGTTTTGACCTATACACAAAATTCATTTATATGAATTATAATTCACCAATTACTATATATTCTATATTAAATAAACTTACTGAAGAATCAGTCAGCATTTTGATAAAATTCCTTTCAATAAATAAATTAAATTTGTAATCGACAATGCTCAATACTTTTTGAAGTGTTTACTAATTATAACTAGTAGTTATTTATATATCTATGATTATAACCTATTAACTATTAATGAATTTTTTTCTACAAAATTATTTGGCACAAGAAAGTGGCCTCGAGTTGGTTTAGAGCCAGACTTTATCGGGGTCACCACCAAATTGAGCTGGCGTATCACCATGACGTGGAAGCCATAGAAACAAAAGAAGAAGAAGAAGATAGATAAGAGGGTTAAGAATTCATCGGCACTTTCTCTATACTTTTGCCAAATAAGTTATGAGTATAATAATTACACTTCCACTTTGTGTTTATATTTTGAAAATTAAATATAATTCCCTAGATAAAAAAAACAATACTCTAATAAATTAAAAATGGAAATGGGACATCAAGAAAACGGTCAGACGGAAGAACAGGTTGAAAGTGAAATAGAATATAATGAACATTATGAGACTATTTTCAATAAGGTAAAAGTTGAGATTAAAGAAGAACAAACTGAGGTGGACGTAAATAATCTTCCCAAAAGCAGTAGTTCCAATGAAATCAAACAAGAACCAAATTATGAATTCATTAAATGTGAAACAGTTAATAGTGAAGATGTTACCACAGAGGATGTTACAGAATCTCAAAACATTGAAAAGGGTATGTGTTTTGTGTGATTAAATAGTCAAATAACAAAAAATAATCATTGATTGTAAGCTGCCAGGAGTAGCAATTACATATTTGTTACTGTTAAAATAATGGAACATTCAGTCATATTTTAGAATGTACATACGCAATTATATATCTAGAGTCCAATCTTAAATGGAGAATCTAAAGGCAGTATCAAAATGAATTTAGCTGTTTACATTCGGAAAGTCAAATTCACTGGCTATACATTATTACAGTTGTTAATTTTTTTTTAAGTTATTGAGTTTTTTTTGGTATATTTCAAGGCACATTTGTTAACCTATCTGACAACAAGCCTCATATGTTCAAGTCTCCTCTTTATTCTGTTCATTCAAATCATTTTTGACTTGGTAGTAAAGAATTGAGTAAGATAATATTTTCTTTTTATACCTATACTAGAAATAATTTCGGAGGCTAATCTTTTTGTATGGAGTACCTAGAATAACAGCTTAAGAGTTCTGGGTAGCATATGAATGGACATATAGGGCAACCAGAACTTTATTCTTTATTTAGTGACATTAAAGAGGTAATTGTTAGTTTTGTTCTACTTGTTTTGTATGTGTCAAACCTTAATATATTTATGTGGACTAATAACTCTTGGTACTGGACTCTTTTAATCTCTTGAAAGCTGTGGATTAGTCTACATATAGACTATTTCTCAAATATTGTTGTTTTTTGAGTTATCTTTTATCTTCTTCCACTCTCTCTGGTCCTGTATCTTTTCTCTCCAGTTTGCAATTTACATCTTTGACATATCCTTTAGCAGTTGGTCTTCCCATCTTATTTTTAGTCTTCTTGGTCTGTTTATTACTGGTTTCTGGATTTTTTATCTTCGTAATTAGCGCTGTCTTTTTCTTCTTTGTTTGTGTCCAAACAATCTCAGTGTTTGTGCTGGAATCAATGTTACTATATCTTTCCGCTCAAGTATATTGATTATTTCATGGTTCATCAGTCTTCTATATTCTCCTTGTTCTGTCTTTACTGGGCCTTTTCTTAATATTTCTCTCAATCTTAGTTTTTCTTCATCTTTTTTCGTAAAACACATTACTTTTGCTCTATAGTATTTTTCATACAAAAATGGTGCATGTCATTCAAGATTTATGATGTCAGAACCCCACAGCGTTGCCAAAACATTAGAATAGTTAGTAAGTGAGGAATTTTTAAAATGTCAACGATACTACAGCTAATAATACAAAACCCATACGGAACTGCCCAATCTTTCATAGGGTTCAACATGGTGTAATAATCAGAAAAATGTGATCATCATTATATTGGAAATTTTAGAATTATATTGATTAAATAACCAAAAGCATTTGTTATTATTAATAATATAAATTTTATGAAATAACTCTAAGTCTAATATTCGACAAAATAATAATTTTAATTAAATATATTAGACAATTGTACACAACTCATACCGGAATATTTCAAATTTTATTGACAGTTCAGCGTGTAGCAAAAGTGTATAAAGTGTTGTTTATACACTTTTTAAGAGTAAGAATTTTGTTTATGTTTTGATTTCTTAAACAATTTAATCAAAATATAATATATATTAATAAATTGTATTTATAAATACATATTAAATTTAGATTAATAGCTATAAAAACTAATTATTGTTGTGTATTGTGATTGTGCTATGCAAAAACAAATAAATAGTATGTTAAGCTGATCAGCTTTCATATAAGATAGATTATTTTGAACAAGAAATAATGGCGAGACGTTTTTACTATTAAAGCTCTAAAAGAGGTAAGTTTAAAATGTAGAATATATAATATAGTATTAAAATGTTTTTTTATGCATTCTTGTGTGTTGCAGTAGTCTTAAAACTAAGTGTATTTACTGTTAGTATAATAAGTTGACAAAAAATTGACATTTTAAAAATTCCTCACTTGCTAACTATTCTGATGTTTTGGCAATGCTGTGTGGTTCTGACGTCGTAAATCTTGAATGAGGTGCAAGCATTTTTATATGAAAAATGCTATATTTGTCAAACTATTATATTAACAAACTATTATATTAACATAAGAAAACATTTTAATTCAAAATTATATATTCTAAATTTTAAACTTACTTCTTTTAGTCCATTAATAGTAAAAACGTCCCGCCATTATTTCTTGTTCAAAATAATCTATCTTATATGAAAGCTTATCAGCTTTCTACAGACTATTTAGTTGTTTTGGCATAGTACAATCACAATACACAACAATGATTAGTTTTTAAAGCTATTAATTTAAATTTAATATGTATTTATAAATACAATTTATTAATATATATTATTATCAAATTGTGTAAGAAATCAAAACATAAACAAAATTCTTACTCTAAAAAAGCGGCAACACTTAAAACAATTTTGCCACATGCTGAACTGTCAAAAAATTTGAAGTATTCCCGTACAGTTGCGTACAATTGTCTAATATATTTAATTAAAATTATTATTTTGTGGAATATTAGACTTATTAGAGTTATTTCATAAAATTTATAATAAAAATAATACAAATGGTTTTGGTTATTTAATCAATATAATTCTAAAATTTCTAATATAATGATGATTACATTTTTCTGATTATTCCACCATGTTGACGCCTATGAAAGATCGAGCAGTTCCGTATGGGTTTCGTATTATTAGCTGTGTTAGGAAAATTTGAACTCTACGGTTGACGTTCTGGATATTTTAAATATAAGAGACGCCACTCTATATAAATTGTGACGTGCACGTATTTTTATATGAAAAATACTATATATACTATCTATCTATCACTGGTCTAATGGCTGGTCTGTATATTTTTGTATTTGTTTCTTTGCTCAGGCTTTTGTCTTTAAATGTGATATTTACAATATGCTCCATTCTTTACTAATACCACTTATTATTAAGTTTTTTAATTGTAAAACAAACTATGAATTAAAAAAAATTATTAAAGTCGTCTCTAATTATAGTAGGATAATTTTTATATATACTTCATATAATTTACTAGCCGTTGCATGTCATTATCATTGACACAGATCGAAGTTGACATAGTTGCCAAAGTATAAAAAAATCCTGACTTCATTTTAAATTAAATAGGTCACATAATTATTACAAAAGTATTACCATCTCTTTACAACGACTATTTAAATTCTTTCGTGACATTTTTGAAATGAAATACATACTAATTTTGTTCTAAAAAGTTCTTTTGTCAGATGTCTTGTCAAATACAAATCAGTGATGAGTGACGGCGAGAGTTACATTTACATTATTTAATACATTTATGATAAAATTGAATACAATTACAATTGTATCTATTATTATAGTAAAAGTATAATGAGTGTCTATTTGTCATCATTGTATTTACATTTTGAAATATAATGTCAAATTATAATTTTGTTCTAAAAAGAACAGATTTTATTAAATAGGTAAAAATATAAAACAAGAGGTATTCACTTTAAAATTCAAAATAATAAAGTACAAAAAGTGACAACACCGCAACTGCCAAATAAGTGTTACCAATTTATGCCAAAATTTCACCTTCGTTCGATTACAGTTACAGTGTGTTCTAAACAAATGTTCTTTATAAAAACGCTTTATAATGCATTTATACAAATTAAATGAAACATATTATTGTGTATTTCTTTAAGTTAACATTAATAGAAATCTTTAAATATTATTTCTACGCGTATATAATAAAATATGTCTAGTGGCTGTAATGCCAGTGTACTCGTCAAAGTGATTCTAAAATATAACCGCCTAAATATTTCGTGTTGGTATCATGTGACCTCACGGACTATGACGCCGATGACGTGCAACAGTAAGTAAATTAGATGAAGCACAGCCACCTTTATTTCCAAGCCATGAAGTAGAAATTTGGCAACAACGCGTGGTAGTCCGACTGTGGTTTGTTTTGGTTTAACATAATCTATGAAAGTTTGTTGAATTTATTGTTTTTTAACTTTATTCGAATGTTTTATTTGTAAATTGTGTTTAAATCAATTAGAAAATATTAATATAAGTGAAATTTCATTAAATTTAGAACTTCTAGAAGATTCTTAACGACAGGCAAGTATAAATATAACCTACAAAACAAACTGAAAATAATAATACTTTTGCTTCTTGTTACAAAATATGTAAACTAAAAACAACAATAATAATACTTTTGTTTTTTGTTACAGATGCTCTGGCATTGTTGTGTACCTGGTTGCAAAACCAATCTCTATTCATAGAGAAGGCTGTACAATTACCAAATCTTCCATAGTATGTGCCAAACTTTTTCATGAAGATGGTATTCAGCGGACTGAACAATGAGAAGATAAAGATGGAAATGTACACATTGAAAAGTTAATATTTCCCAAATTAAAAGGCAATGCAGTTCCTAATATATTTCCTGAAGTACCATCATAATATGTAACTGTTCATCATACTAAAGAAAGAAGGAATCCCGAAGACAGAAGACACTTTTTGCATAAGAAGAGGGAACAAGAGATAACAGAATTCTTAGACAATGATTTAATAGATTCATTTGAATCATTTTTAAGAGTCTTAGACAATAATATACCATTGAAAAACTGGACAAGTAAAATTAAAAGTGACTGTGTATATTTCTATGTATTAAACATTAATCAGTTGGGACACAAGTGTGATAATATTTGTGTAATAAGTAGTGTAATAGTTAGCAGTAATTTTAGTGTAGGTAATCCTGTAATCGTCAATGTAGGTAAGAATAGATTAAGTGGTAATGATTTGAAATGGATTTTACAATATAGTAAATTAACAAGATGGTCACAATTAGAGAACTTACTTACTCGATTAGATTTGCTTTTTAGATAAGTGATAATAAATTTGAGTATTACATTCAAAAATCTTTTGAGAATATAGGCTATTTTAACTCGATATACAAGTTATAAATGGTATGTTACATTCAACACATTTTTCATGTATACCTCTTTTAACTTGGTCTATATGACAACAAACCTATTAATATTTAAAATTGCTACTTTTGTATATCTAAGTATGAAAATTCAACAAAAGTTATAAGTAAATAATAAAATATTTAATTTTCAATTAGATTAATTTAGAACCATATTTGTATTGTGTCTGATTTCTTAGGATGAATTTTTTAATCATAATAGTTACACTAAGTTTTTACTTATCACAAATTTTATATCTTTTGTATTTTTAATAATCTTTTTAAATGTCCTGTTAATGTTTTGTGTTATTTATATGCTTAAGTACTTAAAATATTTAAAATTTCTAGTGAGTCTTGACTGCATTTGATTGTAAGATTAACTGTTTGACACTGTATTTTAAGTGCAATAAATTTTACTCTAGTGATTATTTTATTGATAATATAACCTAAATAATAATAAAACTTTATATATATTTACTAGGTATATATAAGGTTTTATTAATTTAATTTCCCTAAAAATATTTCTGTAATTATCAGTTTCCTAAAATTCAAATTAGTTTAATATTCTGGTAGACCTTACAGCTGATTATCGGACTACCGACGTCATAGAATGCGGTGTTGCCTTTTTTACTTCATGGCTTGGAAGTAAAGGTGGCTGTGGATGAAGTATATATGGTAGGATAATATGTGTCATAAAATTAAATAAGCCATCTTTTTAAATACGAAAAAATAATTTTATCCCTGTCAATAGCACAACAGTTATACCAAGTGTTTTCGCAATTAAGTTTTGCAATGTTGGAAATGTTTTTTATTAGTTTTTCTTTTGATAGAATAACTCTCTATAGCTTATGTTACTAGCAGAGTCATTGTAAGTTCATTGTTTTGTGACTTACGTTATTGCAAAAAAAGTTGTATGAGATAAACAAATTGAATAACTTTTAAACTGATTGACGAATCACTCTGAAATTTTAACCACATTTTTACACTAAAGACCCAACTTTCCACACAATATTGAGGTTTTATGTTCATTTTTACAACCGTTAATAATATTTTTTTTAAGGCATTCTTAAGCCTTTTACAGTTTTCCAAGCAACAAATTGATAGATTCAACATTCACAAATCGTCATTTTAAAGCTTTAAACGTATTTTATCAAATAATTACATCCAAATTAATTCAAAATGTTTTACTTTTTACTGATAACATAAAGTTTTTAAAATTGTGCATTTTTGATTGCGATAAGCAATTATCTTAATATCTTCCGAATCTAGACCAAAGCCAGATTACCAGATTGTTCTTAATTCTTTCGTTATCTAATTTCGCTATTCTGTTGCTTAAGTCCATATTTCTTCTCTTTTTTCTGTAGTCCATTTCGTCCATTTTCAGTTTCAGTTCCTTATTTTCCTTTTTTATATCTGCGTTTTATTCTCTTAGTTCTTTAAGCTCCTGTATATACGACTTTTACTTATCTTTTATTTCTTGGACATCTCTAGTTAGTTTTGTTACATTCTCAGTCAATTTTTTTAACAATTTAGTGCTAGTTCCATTTTATTTTCCTTTAGATTTTTTCCACTTTCACCCCTCCTCTTTTTTTGGACTATTCATATTATATTTGTTATCGTCGCTACCTATTGTTAGTTTCTGTATACTCTAGTTCCTGTAGTTTCTACAGCCGTGCTAAAGCGTAAAAGACCAGTTTTCTCTATTCGCTATCAAGACTACAACTACTACTTTGGTTTTATTTCGATTTTTATTTGGTTTTTCACAGTTTACAAAATTATGGATTTTTCACTCAATAAATTCAGTTCTTGTAATACTCTAGGTCATCATAGTCTAGTTCGTTATCTAAGAGGTGAGGTTGATTTGGGAGGAAGACAGTGAGACGATTTCTATCTCATTAATCCCCTGATTGTTTAACCCCCCAGTGAGTCCAATTAGCATAGTCAATTATCCTCACCATCAGTAGCTCGACAATCCTTTCTGGGTACTGGCTTGTTCTAGGATTTTCCGCCATTTTGTACTGTTCCTTGCTTTGTTTTTCCAGTTGGTAATCTTAAGTGTTTTCTGATCTTGTTCCACTTGTTCCATGTATCTAAGTTTGGGTCTTCCCTTTGACCTTCTCCCTACTGGTGTTTGCCTCATTATATGTTTTGGCGTTTCAGTCTCCAACATCCGTTCAACATGTCCCATCCAGCGCAGACGTCCGATTTTTATGGATGTTATGACCTCGGGTTCATTGTATGCTGTGCATAGTTCAAAGTTATATCTTCGGAGCCATATGTCATTTTTAGCATAGTCAATACCATGGTCTATAAGCCTGAAAACCGAGTTATCAAGACATGTAATAAAATACCAAATACCTAAATTCTTTTATTTAATTTAATGCTATCGGTAAACAATTTAATATTAAATCTTTATTTTAGGTTTTCCCCAAAACGATAATGATAAAGAAAGCAGTGCATTAGAACAATCAAAAATGAATAATCAACATAAATGTACAGTTTGTTCAAAAATGTTCTCCAGAGCAGCTCATTTAAAACGTCACACATTTTTGCACACTGGTGAAAAATTGTTCACGTGCGCAATTTGTTCCCATCAGTTCAGAGAGAACAGCCATTTGAAGCTACATATGCGTCGACATACCGGAGAAAAACCTTACACATGTGCAGTTTGCTCCAAGCAATTTAGGCAAATTACTCATCTAAATACTCACATGCTTGTGCATACTGGAGAAAAGCCTTTTAAATGCGAAACGTGTGACAAACAGTTCTCTCAAAGGGCTAGTTTAAATGTCCACATGCTCGTACATTCTGGGGAAAAATACTTCCAATGTGAGGTTTGTTCTAAGCTGTTTTCGCATCAGATTAGCTTAAAGACCCACATGCGTTTGCACACCGGCGAAAAACCTTTTAAATGTGATATTTGCTCGAAAACATTTCGACAGGTCGCTAATTTGAACACTCACATGCTTTTGCACGCTCCAGACAAACCGTTCAAATGTGATGTGTGTTCTGCTCAGTTTAAACGGAAATACATTTTGAGTGTACATATGCTTAGGCATACTGGAGAAAAGCCGTATAAATGTGAAATCTGCGATAAGCAATGTAGTCGAAAATTTGATTTAAACAGACATATGCGAGTTCATACTGGAGAAAAGCCTTTTGAGTGTGAAATTTGTTATAGACAGTTCTCAAAAAAAGACAGTTTAAAAAGCCATCTACTTGTTCACGCAGGCGAAAGCCCTTGTTAATATTATATTTGATTATACATAGTTTTATTTATGGAACGCCTCAATTATCTCGGGAACGCCTTACACGATTTTTATAAATTTTGGTGTGTAAGGGTCTATTGATGCTTCATATATTGTGGTAGTCTTTACATTGTTGTCAGATTTTCCGTTTTTCTGGAAATCTTAACGTGTCCCATCCTTAAGGACATTGGCGATCATCGTGGCCCATTTGACTCTATCTGCAGTCGTTCTGAAATGTTCTATTGACGTTTTCCCACTCCATTGTCTCAGATTATTCAACAAGGACGTGCGTCTTCTCCCCGGTTCTCTTTTGCCTTCCACCTTCCGTTGTGTGACCAGCCACATGAATCTTTTCTCTGTCGCCTCTGTAATTCTCAGACCTCAACTCCATACAACAGGACAGATAACACGTAGCATCTCAATACTCTAGTTCTAATTTCAATGTTGAGTTTTCCATTGCATCTCAATCTCAATACGCCGTTTTATTTCTGTACTTTTATCCCATTCTTTATTTAGTTCGCAACTTAAGTACTGATATCTGTGCACCCTGCCTAAAAGTTTTCCTTTAGCATAAACACTGTCTTCCTCAATCTTGTTTTTGCTTATCACCATGATTTTTGTTTTATTTATAATCAGTGCCATTCCATACCTTTCGCAGTATTGGTTAATGCAGTGGCGGCTCGTGGCTTAAGAGACAAGGTCGGCAAGGTATTTTTTGTCTCCTCAGATAGGTATACCATCTAATAAAGACTTCAATCATCATAGGAGATTTTTTGTTTTCTTGTTTTTTTTTCCTATAAATTTAGAACCTAAACATGTTTATAAATTAACTCTATTCTACGTTGTTTGGAAGTAGCAAAATGGGTAATAACGTCATCGTAAAATTTATTAGAGTTTTGGAGAGATTTTAAAAGGTTTTTTGTCTATTGAGATTTGAGACAAGCTTGACATTCTCTCTTGTTTCATGGTATTTCGACAATACGTTTTGATTCTTTAGAGGCAAGAGAAATCTCGTTCATTTGAGGCAGACGTTGGTGGTAATGAGAGAATTAATTAATGACAATAATTTATTATTTCGGTAACAGTTTGTTGTAATGAATTGCAGTATATAAAATTATACATATCTTGTAGCTTATCCCATCTTCCGAAAATATTTGGATCAGCATATAAAACTTTTAATTCATTTTCTAATTTTATTTTATTAAAGAATGATGGATAATTTTTAATTAACCTATCTGATAAATATCTTGGAAATTCTTTGGCGTAACTTTAAAATTTTGAATCGTCAAAGAGGTTAAAAATTTGCAAATCTTCAAAATTCGAAAAACGAGTATCTATTTGCATAATATTAGTATCCAAAATTTCAAAATATACTCGTTTTTCGAGATCTGTTTCTGTGTCATGCCTTTTATTCTATTTTTGGAATGAATAATGTCAGTTAACTGATTTTGAACAACATTAAATATCAAATCGGTTTGGGTAAACACTTTCTTAAAAATATTTAAAAGTATGTTAAAAGAGTAATCATTTAATAAAGTTTTCAAACCGATTGCTTTATGG